TGACCTGAAGGAATTGGTAGAAATGTGTGAGTGTGTGTGCGCGCATTGTGTGTGTGTGTGTGTGTGTGTGTGTGTGTGTGTGTGTGAATCAGGACTCATTCCATATTCTGAAGCAAAAAGACACTTTCCAACGCAATACATATCAAAGCAGATATGATAGCATATTAAACAAGTTGTAAAAGAGATTTGGTAAATTTAAAAAAAAAATACCACTTTTCTCATTAAATATTTGTGGATTTAGAAAAGACAATAGTGGCTCATAAAATGGTACTTAGGTTACAAGGTAATAGGTTTATTACTGTCATTTTAAAATGAATTAATAGGGGCGCCTGGGTGGCGCAGTCGGTTAAGCGTCCGACTTCAGCCAGGTCACGATCTCACGGTCCGTGAGTTCGAGCCCCGCGTCGGGCTTTGGGCTGATGGCTCAGAGCCTGGAGCCTGTTTCTGAGTCTGTGTCTCCCTCTCTCTCTCTGCCCCTCCCCTGTTCATGCTCTGTCTCTCTCTGTCCCAAAAATAAATAAACGTTGAAAAAAAAAATTAAAAAAAAAAAAATAAAATAAAATAAAATGAATTAATATATAAATATGTTACAAGGATGGGTAGGAATGTGTTGAGTTACTGACAATAACAACGGGAATAATTTATTAAGCACTTGTTATAGGATGGGAGCTGTGGTTAGCACCGTATATGTTTTTTCCCTCAGTCCGTCTCACAATGATCCTATAAAGTAGATGCCACTATTGTCCCAGTTGACAGGTGACGAAATCGAGTTTTAGTGGAGTCACTTGCTCAAGGTCATGTCATTAATAATCGACAGATCTAGGTTGAACCCCGAAGTCAGAGCTTGTAAAAATACCACACTCTACCTGCCCCCAAACAGAACAGTAACAATCATTAATACTTACCGGACTTTTGGGGCGCCTGGGTGGCTTAGTCGGTTAAGCATCCGACTTCGGCTTAGGTCATGATCTCACAGTTCATGAGTTCAAACCTCACATTTGGGCTCTCTGCTGTCAGCATGGAGCTTGCTTCGGGTCTTCTGTCTCCCTCTCTCTCTGCCCCTCCCGCCGCCCCTCTCTCAAAGAAATAAACGTTAAAAAAAAATACTTACTGGATTCTTAACCTTTGGGCCAGATATGAAGCTAGGCTCGTGGCTTGCAATGTTCTGTGTATCACAATGAGATTTATACCCAGCGAGTTAAAAGCTATACCTACTCCTACCCCATTTCCGGAAGAAGGGAAACTGAGCCTCAGATAAAGTGACTTTCCCAAGGTGAAAGAGCGGGCCAGAATTAGTACTTGAACCTGGATCCCCCTCATGTAGAGGACTGCACTGCAAGAATGGGGCTGCGGTAGAAGAGATGAACTCTGTCTTCCAGACCCAAGGGGCACCGACAGGGCCGGACAGAGGACTCTGAGCGGCTCCTTAACGAGGGTGGAGTCTCACACAGTTACCTGGGATGGCGACCAAGTTCTGTAGCTCTTGTTTCAGGTCCATAATATCGTTGCAAAGCTGGATGTCATCCATCCTGGGGAAACAGGACACCACACCACAGCAGTTTACATCGACAGAATATTCTACACCCTGAGCACCACCCGGTTTAAACAAAGGGTTTGGGGGCGGGGGTTGTCCTTTGTAAAGGCCACACAGGCTCTTTATACAAGTTGTGCCTCAAAAGAAGAAAAACAAAACGTGCCTATTGTCACACGACTCGGAAATGATCGATCGCTGTTAATAACACCTTGATGAGAATGGCTTCCTGTCTTCACGTCCTTGCTTCCGTTCCCTTATACCAGCGAGCTCACGCTGCAGATTCGTGTTTTCTTTACCGGCTGTGTTTCTCAATTTTAAGCATCGCAGAAATTCACACTATAGAGAAAATCTCCCTCAATCCTTTAGAAAAAAACCCCATTGTCAACAGTTTGGTATATATTCCGCCAGATTTTTAAAAATGTTTATGCCTGTACTATAAGTTGTAACACCATTGTTATTCTACAAACACATCTTGCAATATTTTTAACTTCATGGTATATCTTAGGCATTTTTCCATGTCAGGACATGCAAATCTCATTGAAAAAAAAAATTTTTTAAGTTTATTTTTGAGAGAGAGAAACAGAGCATGAGCAGGGGAGGAGCAGGCAGAGAGGGAGACACAGAATCCGAAGCGGGCTCCAGGCTCCGAGCTGTCAGGACAGAGCCCGACGTGGGGCTTGAACTCACAGACCGCAAGATCATGACCTGAGCCAAAGTCAGACCCTTACCAGGCACCCGTAATTTTTAATGGCTGTATACTATTCCATTATACCAATATACAGTGACTTATATAACCATTCCCCTATACAGAGACGTCTGGGTTGTTTCTAGGATAAATTCCTAGAAATACATAAATTCCTAGAAAAATTAGTTCCTAGAAATGCAATCATTGGGTCAAGTGACATGAACACTTGCTTGCTTATTTATTTATTTAGAGAGTGGGCGAGCACAAGTGGGGAAGGGACATAGGGAGAGAGAAAATCTTAAGCAGTTTCCAATGTGGGGCTCCATGCAGGGCTAGATCGCATGACTGGGAGATCATGATCTGAGCTGAAATCAAGAGTCGGACGCTTAAACAACTGAGCCATCCAGGTGCCCCAACCCTTGCATTTTAATTAGGAACTTCCAAATTGCCCTCCAGAGGGATTGTGCCTGATAGTCCCACCAAGAGCATGAAAGGATGGTCACACTTATGACCTCAGCCATCGACTGCATGTGCAATTTTGCATTATGTATTACAGTTTTGTAGGTGTGCTAGGATATTAACTTATATTACTGTAAATAACGTGTATACTGGATATCTGGAATTTCAGCAAATCGATTTATAAGGGCTGCTCTAAATTGTTTTAATGTTTATTTATTTACTTATATTGAGAGAAAGAGAGAGAGAGAGAGAGAGAGAAGGTGGGGGAGGGGCAGAGAGAGAGAGAGAGAGAGAGAGAGAGAATCCCAAGCAGGCTCCATGCTGTCAACACAGACCCCAATGTGGGGCTCAATTCCATGAACTGTGAGATTATGACCTGGGCTGAAATCAAGAGTCAGACTCTTAACTGACTGAGCTTCCGAGGCGCCCCAGGTTGGCTTTAATTACCATCATATATAGATATTAAAATTTTTTATTTAATTTATTTTTTTTGTTTACATCCAAGTTAGTTAGCATATAGTGCAACAATGATTTGAGGAGTAGATTCCTTAGTGCCCCTTACCCATTTAGCCCATCCCCCCTCCCACAACCCCTCCAGTAACCCTCAGTTTGTTCTCCATATTTAAGAGTCTCTCACGTTTTTGTCCCCCTTCCTGTTTTTATATTATTTTTGCTTCCCTTCCCTTATGTTCATCTGTTCTGTATCTTAAAGTCCTCAGATGAGTGAAGTCATATGATATTTGTCTATCTCTGACTGACTAATCTCACTTAGCAAAATACCCCCTAGTGCCATCCACGTAGTTGCAAATGGCAAGATTTTATTTTCTCGTTGCTGAGTAATATTCCATTGTATGTATATATACCACTTCTTCTTTACCCATTCTTCTTTGTCCATATTGATGGACATTTGGGGTCTTTCCATACTTTGGCTATTGTAGATAGTGCTGCTATAAACATTGGGGTGCATGTATCCCTTCGAAACAGCATACCTGTGTCCCTTGGATAAATACCTAGTAGTGCCATTGCTGGGTCGCAGGGTAGTTCTCTTTTTAATTTTTTGAGGAAACTCCATACTATTTTCCAGAGTACCTACACCTGTTTGCATTCCCACCAGCAGTGCAAAAGGATTCCTCTTTCTCTGCATCCTCCCCAACATCTGTTGTTGCCTGAGTTGTTAATGTTAGCCATTCTGACAGGTGTGAGGTGGTATCTCATTGTGGTTTCGATTTGTATTTCCCTGATGACGAGTGACGTTGAGCATTTTTTCATGTGTAGGTTGACCATCTGGATGTCTTCTTTGGAGAAGTGTCTATTCATGTCTTTTGCCCATTTCTTTACTGGATTATTTGGTTTCCGGATGTTGAGTTTGATAAGTTCTTTACAGATTTTGGATACTAATCCTTTATCTGATATCTTGTTTGCAAATGTCTTCTCCCATTCTGTCAGTTGCCTTTCAGTTTTGCTGATTGTTTCCTTCACTGTGCAGAAGATTTTTATTTTAATGAGTTCCCAATACTTCATTTTTGCTTTTGTTTCCCTTGCCTCCAGAGACATGTTGAATAAGAAGTTGCTGCGGCCAAGGTCAAAGAGGTTTTTGCCTGCTTTCTCCTTGAGGATTTTGATGGCTTCCTATCTCACATTAGGTCTTTCATCCATTTTGAGTTCATTTTGTGTATGGTGTAAGAAAGCGGTCCAGGTTTATTTCTCTTCATATGGCTGTCCAATTTTCCCAGCACCACTTGCTGAAGAGACTGTTTTTATTCCACTGGATATGCTTTCTTGCTTTGTCAAAGATGAGTTGGCCATACATTTGTGGGTCCATTTCTGGGTTTTCTATTCTGTTCCATTGATCTGAGTGTCTGTTTTTGTGCCAGTACCATACTGTATTGAGGATTACAGGTTTTTAATACAGCTTGAAGTATGAGATTGTGATGCCTCCTGCTTTGGTTTTCTTTTTCAAGATTGCTTTGGCTATTCGGGGTCTTTTCTGGTTCCATACAAATTTTAGGATTGTTTGTTCTAGCTCTGTGAAGAATGCTGGTGTTATTTTGATAGGGATTGCATTGAATATGTAGATTGCTTTGGGTGGTATCGACATTCTAAAAATATTTGTTCTTCCTATCCAGGAGCACGGAATCTTTTTCCATTTTTTTTTTGTGTCTTCAATTTCTTTCATAAGCTTTCTACAGTTTTCAGTGTATAGATTTTTCACCTCTTTGGTTAGATTTATTCCTAGGTATTTTATGGGTTTTGGCGCAATTATATATGGCATCGATTCCTTGATTTCTCTTTCTGTTGCTCCATTCTTGGTGTATAGGAATGAAACCGATTTCTGCACATTGATTTTATATCCTGCTACTTTGCTGAATTCATGGATCCGTTCTAGCAGTTTTTTTGGTGGAATCTTTTGAGTTTTCCATATGGAGTATCATGTCATCTATGACGAGTGAAAGTTTGACCTCCTCCTGGCCAGTTTGGATGCCTTGTATTTCTTTGTGTTGTCTGATTCCTGAGGCTAAAACTTCCAATACTATGTTGAATAACAGTGGTGAGAGTGGACATCCCTGTCTTGTTCCTGACCTTAGGGGGAAAGCTCTCAGTTTTTCCCCATTGAGGATGATATTAGCTTTGGGTCTTTCATATATGGCTTTTATGATCTCAAGGTATGGTCCTTCTATTCCTACTTTCTTAACGGTTTTTATCAACAAAGGATGCTGTATTTTGTCAAATGCTTTCTCTACGTCCACTGAGAGGATCATGTGGTTCTTGTCCTTTCTTTTATTGATGTCATGAATCACATTGATTGTTTTGCAGATATTGAACCAGCCCCACATCCCAGTTATAAATCCCACTTGGTCGTGGCGAATAATTTTTTTTCACGTATTGTTGGATCCGGCTGGCTATTATCTTGTTGAGAATTTTTGCATGCATGTTCATCAGGGAAATTGGTCTATAGTTCTCCTTTTTCGTGGGGTCTTTGTCTGGATTTGGAATCAAGGTAATGCTGGCTTCATAGAAAGAGTTTGGAAGTTTTCCTTCCATTTCTCTTATTTGGAACAACTTCAAGAGAATAGGTGTTAACTCTTCCTTTAATGTTTGGTAGAATTCCCCTGGAAAGCCATCTGGCCCCAGAGTCTTGTTTTTGGGGAGATTTTTGATTACTAATTCGATTTCTTTACTAGTTATGGGTCTGTTCAAATATTCTATTTCTTCCTGTTTCAGTTTTGGTAGTTTATATGTTTCTAGGAATTTGTCCATTTCTTCCATATTTCCCATTTTATTGGTGTATAATTGCTCATAAGAAACTGCTATTATTGTTTGTATTTCTGCTGTGTTGGTTATTATCTCTCCTCTTTCATTCTTGATTTTATTATTTGGGTCCTTTCCTTTTTCTTTTTGATCAAGCTGGCTAGTGGTTTATCAGTTTTGTTAATTATTTCAAAGAATCAGCTTCTGTTTTCATTGATCTGTTCTACTGGGTTTGTTTTTTTTTTCGATAGCGTTGATTTCTGCTCTAATCTTTATTATTTCCTGTCTCCTGCTGGTTTTGGGTTTTATTTGCTGTTCTTTTTCCAGCCCTTTAAGGTGTAGGGTTAGGTTGTGTATCTGAGGCCTTTCTTCCTTCTTTAGGAAGGCCTGGATTGCTATATACTTTCCTCTTATGACCACCTTTGCTGCGTCCCAGAGGTTTTGGGTTGTGGTGTTACCATTTTCATCGGCTTCCATATACTTTTTAATTTCCTCTTTAACTTCTTGGTTAGCCCATTCATTCTTTAGTAGGATGTTCTTCAGTCTCCAAGTATTTGTTA